ACATGAGTGTTAGGCTTGTCTCGAGCCCTTTGTGTAGCGTTCACGCAATGTTACCTCATCTGTAATTAGGCCCACATTCGAGCGCAACCAGAGCAAATCATTGGGTCGGAGCACTTGAGAATTATCTGGATCGTTATAAACAGACACGAGTGGCCCATCATTAACGATTCGCTCAACTTCCACCATGTAGGTATGAAGTGACTCCTCATTCATTAACTGTTACTGTGTTACCGACTACAGCACTTGTCTTACTGTTCAAACCATTCGTTCCCAAGCGCCGCCCCGATGACTTGCACCAGGAGGATTGAAATACCAAGCAATCCCTTGATTTGACAATCTATCTGTCAACATACTCTGGGTCAAGCGTTGTAAACTTCCTTTTAGCTCTAAATCGGCTCCAACATTTTGGACCCGTTGTCAGTGTAAACAGACTCAGGCGTACCCCCACCTTCCCAAAAATCGCACTAAGGCCTTGAGAAATGAGTGCGTAGACCTGGACTGGGCTACTTCTATGTGTATTGCACGAGTTTGCAAACAGATAAATATATAACCATAACGTTTGAGCTAGTTTCTACCTATGCGCACCTTGAACGGACCGAAGTAATCCACCTCACAATACCTAAATGGGTAACCGTCCGTCGACGATCTCATCGGGGGGATTGGCGTCATCGTTTGAGTGCACTGCTTGGCATAAACCCTTTTACAGTGACAGCACTCACCTAATACTCGTTTAACGGCGGCCATACCTTTTAAAATCCAAAACTGTCTTCTAATGCTGGCGAGCACATGCAAAGCACCAATGTGCCCTTCGGGTTCATGGTAGTGACGTATCAACAGAGTTGTGACGGCACCGTGACAGGGAACGATCAACAAGTTTGCACTGTCCTCATTCTGTGGTCGGATTCTACCGCCAATATAGAATGCTCCATCTACCAAAGCTGGCCGCAAGTTTTCAAGCCTACCCACCTTACGAGGGTTTATGGTGGACGCCTTCAGAACCCCGAGTTCCTTGAAGAACTCACGTTCTTGCACGAACTTTATTAGTTTAAGACAAGGCGCAAGAATCTCGGACACAGGAAGGGGTCCCACTTTGATAGATGCATTTTGTTTAGCGCACATCATCACGGAAACAAAGCTAACGTAACGTGATAACCAAGCGGTGGCCCGTAGTAACTTGGTCCAACTAGAGTATCTTGGCACCAGCTGGTCCAGAATAAAATTAGAGTTAGGTGTTGTGATAACCGCGAGCGTGCGTCTAACCTCTGGGTCTTCTTTTAGTTAGTCTGGGATAGTTGGCAACTTCGGCCATTTTTTTTCCGAATTCATCAGAAAGCTCGGACCTCTCAGCCAGAGTTTCATCTCATTGCTCAAGGCTTGCGTTATCCCCCTGGATGCCACATCGGCCGGATTGAATTCTGAAGGCACATGCCTCCATTGGTAGACAGAAGTGGGGTGGTGGGTGAGTCTCACACGATTGGCGACGAAGGTTGCGAAACGCAATGAAGTGTTCTGTAGGTATCGCAACACTATTGTGGAATCTGTCCATAGTACAACATTACTTATCGGAATTCTCAACTCACGAATCAGGAGATACATCATCTTGGACGATAGAACTGCTGCCGTGAGATTATGTCTGGGTATCGTAACCGCCTTCTTTGGGGCCACCCTGGACTTGCCCATCAGAAAGCCACATTGAATACCATTAGTCGATGAAACCACTTTTAGATAGTCTACTGCTCCGTAACCGACTTCAGACGCATCACAGAACATGTGCAATTCGACAAGGTTGGCTGAGGAAAGTCCAGGAACCATGAACCTGGGCAATACCACGCTGTCTGTGAATCTTATGTCGTTCAGCCAACCTTCCCAGCGTACCCGATCACACTCCTTTATATCGGAATCCCAACCGATGCCTTGCTGACAAAGGTCCTGAAGCAATCTGCGAGCCGGCAACAATAGTGATGCCCCTATTCCCAAGGGATCGTATAACGGAGCCACACAACTTAATATTCCTTGCGCACTCAGATATGCTCTCAGCAACTTCTGCCCACCTTTCTAGTAAGTAGTGAGTCAATCGTTCGACTGTCTTAATGAAGTTGGTTGAGCATTTCAATTCTGCTCTGTAATCTAGCTGCGTCAGCATCGCCTGACAGCCCTTCATCTGACTGGCTAGTCCACGAAAACCATCAACATCACCAGTGACTAACTGAGGACCCATGAAAACTTTTTTGCTTACAGCCTGCATAATATCATGTCGGTGGCCAAACTGCTGATGCAAAATTCTCATTGCCTCTGTAAAACCCACCTCCTTTGGCAACAGCGTGCTATGATTAATCGCCTCTTTCGCTCTACCACGACAATAATGCGATAAATATGAAAGCCTTGATCTTTCACCAACAAACTTATCTGCTACGTTACCGTCAAAACATCTGATAAGGGTGAAGATATTCTTCGGGGAACCATCGAAACTGTCAACCTCAATTTTCGGGAGACTGGCTCCAAGAATCAAAGGTCTGAGAGCCCGCTCTAAAGACTCAACAGGAT